TAGTTTCTTGCAGATGTTTCATTACCCAAACTAACTTAATGAGTGATGATGTTACCTAGTGTGGATGATGAAACGTCTGCAAGAAAATATGCAAGCTCAGAGGCCAGCAAGGACCGCCTCTTGACTGATGGATTTGCTGTTCTACTGTGGACATTGCATGTATCATAAAAGAGAAGCATTTTAAAAATTAGCATTCAATGGAGATTTACTCTAATTGTTGTGAAGTATGCACCACCCCAGAAGTAGACAACTTTTTGACTTGGAATCTCACTTCACATTTTTAGAGGGGAGGGTACAGGACAATAAACATAGGGAAGGCTTTAATTTCCCAACAGATTTTTAATAGGAAGATAGATAGGCATTTTAATGGTTTTTTTTTAAAAAAAAAAACCTCTGTGTTTAAATTTACATAGGGCTACCATTAGTTTTCATTTATGTCCTGTGTCCTGTCCCAAAATGGCATGAGGCTGGCCTGCCAATTTTTGATAATTCTGGTCATCGAAGGCTTTAAAAAGTAGAACTTCCACCTACATCTTGTACATTCCTTTCTGTCGTAATGCTTAACTATCCCCTATTCCGCTGGATTCACATATTCTCTCTTTATTCTTCATCATGCAAATTAATAAGTCATAAACCTCTCTTTAATATTAACCACTGTTAACTTTCATCCAAACCCTAAACTTTGGCCAACCCTATGTACCATGGTTTGTAGAAATAAAAGAGCTATTAAGGTATCCTTCCAACTACCCTTTGTCCAGAGTCAAATGAGGTGGCAAGTTGTAGGCAATCAAAATTAGAAATTGGAATTGTCAAGATCATTCTTATGGTGATTACTTAGAAGAGACTGCAGTAGCTGCAGATAGATTAAGTTCAGTGTATCTTACATAAAGAACCTAGATTGGGCTCAATTTTAAAATTCTAAAATAAATTCAATGTAGCCTATAAAGGAAATCTAATATTCACTTTTCCTTCTGTTAAACATATTTTAATGCTTTGTTTCTTGAAACACACTTTTACCCTATATCTTATTTGTAGATATCACAATATATGTTGCTTCAGATGGATATTTATAAGCATCCTAAATGCTGGTGTAGAAAATACAAATAAGAGATTCATATTTATGAATACATATGCACATTTTTATCCTTTTTGTTCAGTTTTATTTCAAAATAATGATGTTCATAAATGATAATATCAACTCATTAGACGAAATGGCAAATTATCAATATGTTGCACGATTCATTTGGGAGAAATAAAATCCTGTACTGGATATGAAATATTTTTGCTCTGTTTTTTACAGCTGCAAAAGAACTGTCTTTTATCATTGTGCAGCGATAGGATACTTCAGGATGTCCCATTTAACAGGTTAGTTTTTTATTTTTCAAATTATGAAGACAAGGGAAAGGAATTTTAAGATTGCTGTCTAAATGCAGTTGATCGCTCTATCTCACTACTGAATAATTTTAAATAATTATCCTTATTCATAGCTAATGGATAGAAGGATTTTCTGTCTATCTGTTCATACAACCACCCATCCACCTATTTATCTGAAATTCCAAAATTTTTCTAAGAATATATTAAGACAGAAAGTGGTAATTTATTCATTTATCATTTTTAAATGTTGCATATTCAAGCAACTCAAGATGTTAACCCTAGTCCTAATAACAGGTAAATAAATAGACTTGGAAACCAGAAGGGACTGCATATGTTGTCTAATAGTTATAGACATTGAATAACCTCTTGGCTGTGCTCCGGTGACTGCAGTTTGCTATTGCTTGGACCTAATATAATTTCTTTCATAGACTATGCTCATAGCCTGTGCATGAGTGCATGTTGTGTTGCAGGATAGGGAAAGTTCATTCTGGAACCACCAGCCACTGGTGAATTGGCATCTATAACAGTCTCTGCCCAGTACTAAAATCTAGATCTTGAAAATAAAAAATGGACAGACAGAAAGATATATTACTAGCCCAAAGTGGCCAATCATTCTTAAACCCTTTCAAGAAGTAGAAATTGTTTTGCTCTCTTTAAATAGCTAATGCCAGCTGAAGGTTTTATTATAGTTGTGTTGTACATTGCTATATTCCTTTGGGCTGAAATGTGGTAGCTCGAGTTTTCATTTGTCCATTCTCAAGATTTGTTAATTTTCTGCCTATGTTTTTTCCCCAGGTTTGAAGCAGCTAAACTTGTCATGCAATGGCTATGTAATCATGAAGATCAAAACATGCAGAGGATGGCAGTGGCTATTATTTCCATTCTTGCTGCAAAGGTGTGAGATTTTGGTGCTTTGCTATTTTAGCCTTAATTTCCAAGCCTTACCAACAGCCATCTGACATTTCTCTGTGTTTGTTTTCTCTATTTGTTTGTTTGTTTGTTACTTAAAGCTTTCAACAGAACAAACAGCTCAGCTTGGGGCAGAGCTCTTCATTGTCAGGGTAAGCAATTAGCACGATTTGAAATTACTGAAGTGCTAATATTGACTGAGTTGACATAATAAAAGAATGTGGTTGTTTTGATTTGATTTGAGATGGGATGCTGCACAAACTGTTATAAATTCTTTATACAGCTTATAAATTCTATAAATAAATAAACCCAGCCACTGTGCCTTTCAAATCATGTTTTGCCTCAATAATGTGAGAACTCAGTTTCTGTCTGTAATAGTGTTAAGTGGAAATGCTCAATGTTCCTCTTCTTGAAGGTTTTTTTTTTTTAAATCTGGTTACTTTGGCATACACAACAATTGTGCCCCCCTTCCCCCAAATATTAAAGCATTAATGTGCCCTGTTACTGCTTCAAAATCAAGAGAGGAAAGAAATCTATTTGATTTTATTTGCTTTTTTTGATCACATGCTCTTTCCCAGCCATCCTAAGTACTGTAGTGCATCACAGGTGTATATCATTCATGTACTTCATATGCAAAGCATTTAATGATGTTTCGGGGGGGGGGAATTAAACTCACTGTGATAATAGAATGGATAAAAAGTTGTTCTTCGTTATCTTAGCAAGTTAGCAACGGTCCTTTTTGTTGGAGATTTTTATTTTATTCATTTTAAATAAATAATCAGAGCTCTCTGGACAAATTGCAATAAAAGACACTTTAGCGATGTTGCTCATTGTACTATATGTGAATGCAACACACCTTGCCTAATTATGTATAATGTTGAGAGTGATTTAATTTTAGGACAAAAGAAAATATATGCTTGAGAAGAGTGCTTTCTGCAGTCTAATTAGATGCAGTCTAATTTTTAAATGTTTCCACTTCTTTCTCCCTCATTTGCTTTTTGAACCATATAGCCTGGACAATTTGACATGAAATTGTCCCGTTATACATTTAATAAATAAATAAATAAAAACTGGAGAGTTTTTCTCCATATCTTTTTGTCCAGTGTTTTGCTGACATTGTCCTTTGAGCACACAGGATTTTGATACCCGCTGAAAGTCTGGTTGGGAGAAAAGTAACATTGGGAGAAATCTTNGAACTCTTTATTATGTAAAGTGGACTAGCTCAGGCTTTAATGGCTCATTGACAAAAAGGGGGGTGGGTGGGCAGGAAGCTGCAGGAATTTACTTTGTGTTTACAATGTGTTTCTCCCTTTTTCACATCCAGGAAAATATAATATTCTGCCTTTTCAATATTTCCTAGGATATTTCATTTTTCTGGGAGAGGGCTGGGTGATAACTTCCTACAATATTCCTGGCCGTCTAGCTGCATTGGCACAAAACACTGAACCAAACTAGCCAGCCATCTCTTAATGTAACGTGAGAATCTAGGCCTGTGGGTACTTCCAAGTTGCAAGGAATTGTCTACACCTGGAAAACTAGTTTTACTCAAACTAGTAGAACCTCTTCTTCAAGTTTAGTTTCTCTCCTGTTGATCCTTGGACATGTTCGTTTACTTGATAATAATATGGAAGTATGTTGACATTACCTTCCTCCAGGATGTTTTTTAATTTCCTAGTATAGTTTACTGAAAGACACCTATTTCGTCTCACCCTAAGCCCACCTTAGCAATACAACACAAAAAGCGCGTGCTTGTTTACACAGCACGCAGCCTCTCCGGCTTTCTGCCAGAATCAATTTCGTACATCCATCGCTCGACACTCGACTCCTTTTCCCTGATCAGCGAGACATCCTTTCCCATCGGTGACCGAATAAGGCGCCCGCGCCCTAGTTTTGGCGGCTAAAGGTTATTGTTTTCAGTCAGGCCGCTTCCGGTTGTGATTGCCTCCCTCCCCCACGCTTTCCGGTTTTGGGGGTGGTGGGGGAAAGTGGATGCCGGCTGTTTGCGATGGTTCGCTTCCTGCAGGTCCGCCAACGAGCCCCGCTCCCCCTTTGTGGAAACTGTTCGGCTGTGCAGGTGAGCAGAGCGGGAGGCGGCTCTAAAAAAAGCCCGATGGAGAAACGAGAGTGGAAGGACGGGATGAGAGGGGAAAAGCCAGGGAAGGAAGCCAAGAAGGGCGGCAGTGGAGGGGCGAAGCTGCTCCGAGGACCAAAGCATCTCCTCCTTGAGGGCAGGACGTGTCCGGCAATCAGTTTGCCGGGCAGAGGATCTTTAACACACAGGGTTGACTTTTTCGTCTTAGAATTCTTTACAGAATTCCCTGAATTTCCGAGAAGTGTTTTAGGACGACGTAGCAATGTAGGACATGAATCATGCATAGGGTCTAATGCCTAGTCTGCAGGTTTTAAGGTAAACAAGCTGCCAGCGATCCTAAGAAACTTCTGCTTTTGCTTCCTGCTTTTTGGGTTAAGATCTGTATCAACAGCACATGACTACCAATGCATGAATAATAACGTATTCAAATTGTATGTTGCCAGTCACTGAACAACTCTGGGTGGCTCACAGTAGGACAACAAATATCAGTCCTCATTTAACAACCACAATCGAGCCCAAAGTTTATGTTGCTAAGTGAGACATTTGTTAAGTGAGTTTTGCCCCACCCCCCATTTTGAGAACTCTCTTGCCACAGTTGTTAAGTGAATCACTGCAATTGATAAGTTAGAAACCCGGTTGTTAAGTGAATTTGCCTTCCCCATTGACTTTGCTTATCAGAAAGTCGCAAAAGGGGATCACCTGATCTTGGGCCACAAATATGAACCAGTTGCCAAACATATGAATTTTGATCACGTGACCATTGGAGATGCTGCAAAGGTAACTGTGAAAAACGGTCCTAGGTCCCTTTTTTCAGTGCCATTGCAACTTTGAACAAATGAACTGTTGTAAGTCAAGGACTATCTGTACATAAAATCAATAAAACATAAAGATAAAAGATGTCAACCATGAGGAAGCAAGAGCCTCTGCCTTGCCGAAAGCCTGGGTGAAGAGCCAGATTTTCAAAGCCATGTGATTTTTAAGGGCAGCCCAACATACAGATTATTGCAATAGTCAAGTCACAAGGTGACCAGGGCCTCTTGATGTAGGAAAGGGTGCAACTGAGGTATAAAATGGAGTTGGGCAAAGGCCTATATGCAGGATTGTGACTCCAGGGAAAGCAACAGGTTGCATAGCAAGCTTGAAAACGGAAGATCAAAGATGGAATATCTGCAGATCTGGGCAGTTCAGACAGCCACAACCACTCGAGTCTTGATAGGACTGAGTGGCCTAAAATGTTGCTTATAAATGGGCTGTCTTTCAGTGAAGAAAGACCTTAAACATAAATAATGTTTATAGTGGTGATATGAGCATTTTACAGAATTTAGTTTTTGGCAATACAAATTAAGTGAAATTAATGTTTTGGGCGCTTGAACTGTACAAGAAACTCAATTGAGTCCTCTGTTGAGAAATTAAACCTTCTGTTTGAAACGTGGATCAAAGGCAATGTACTATCGTAATTTTGTTGCTCAAAACACACCTCTTCCAGATGGTATTTGAGTCATGATACTATACTGATTTGGTTATATTTTGGTACCATTAATTTAATTTTATTAAATTTCCACTAGCTTGAGGCCTTTTAATCTCACAGAATATATGAGATTCTACTAATATTTCATATAAGCTCTTTCAGCAGAAATGTTTGCGTTTCAATTCACAGGTCGGCGGCTTATAAATATAATGAATAAATGGACAAATAAACTGGGTCAAGAGATACTGTCAGATTCACTGATATAAAGACAAACAAACTACAAGTAGTCCTTGCTTATCAGTGGAAATTGGGACATTGAACTTTGTCACTAAGTGATGCAGTCATATAGTGTGATGTCACATTATTGTACCAACTTATGGTGGCAGTTCCAGCAGTCCCAACTGCTGCTAACATTAGGCAAAACTTACATGGTCACATCATTCTGCAGTCATGTGATTGCCTTTTGTGACTTGCCAGCTTCCCATTGACCTTGCTTGTCGGAAGCTGGCAGTAAAAGTTGCAATGGATACAACTACAAGGTCAATTCCTAAGTCCTCATTCAGTGCTGGCATAACTTTAAGCAGTTCTGAATGAGTGGTCATTAAATGAAGACCACCTGTACAGGTATATGCTCCTGCTGAAGCTGGATAGTTCATATCTATATCATGTCTGTTTAGAGATCTTGACTTAGGGTAATATAAACACAACTCGGCAGTGTAATCAATCCTTGGAACATTATTTTCTGTTTGATGTCATGATGTATTTTATGTATGGCAGGCAGAAGCTTCTCCATATTCTCTAGTTGACATCTGTTTGAATGTCTTGGTTGCTGATCTGGCAAAGTTCTGTACAGAAAGACCAGATGGATCGCTGTGCTTGAAAGAATCTCAAAGGCTTCCACAAGAAGTAGCCGATCGATTGCTGCAAATAATGTCTTATCAAGGTAAGAGATTTCTAGGCCAGAAGAGACAGAATGTTAACAAAGCAGGGTCTTGAATATGGGATTGCTCGTAAACTAGAACTCTTAATTCTGTTTATTTCACATTTGGGAGCTCTAAGGATTCAGGAAAATAGTCCATGATTCAGCAGCACGTATAGTTATGCATTGCTTAACAGTGGCAATCCAGTCTCAATTTTCATCATAACTTGAGGATTACTCAAGGTTGGCTTGGACTACTTTAAAAATACAGGTATCATTTCTTAATAGAGCTTTACCAGATGGCAGTTCTTAGCTCATCTTGGCTGATTTTTGAAATAGAATATGTTTGGTTTTGGTTACTGCTGGAATGGGCGTGGGAATTTCAGTGCTGTTGGCTAACCTATGAAGTTGCAAAAAACATTCTGGAAAAAGGCAGTAGTCAACTACTTCTGTAGTGCTGCCAAGGAAGTGACATATATGCATTATCAAGAGTCAACTTTAACTTGTGGAAATTTTTATCATTAATATGCAAATAGGAAAAAGTTGAACTGATTTCAGAACTTTGCTCGGTCTGATGTATATCTTTTTTTTCCTTTACTGCCAGAGTTGTTAAATGATGGTACTGTGGGCATTTTCCAAGGCAACCAAATTCGTTTGAAGCAAGCTTGCATCCGCAAAGCGAAAATCTCAGCCCAATCCTTCAAGAAGGCCTTCTGCCATCATAAACTAGTACAGCTTGATGCTGCAGGAATGAATGAAACTGTTACCATTGCAGATGTTGTGAGTGGATTGGGAAGCAATAATTGGATCCAGAACAATCTCCAGTGCCTTATCTTGGACTCATTAACTCTTTTTCCTACAAATTCGTATGAAAGATGCTTTGGTCAGCTCCCCGGTCTTCGTTCTTTGAGTATTACAAATGTGCTGTTCGGGGATGAACATCTAGCAGATGTTGCTACCCTGCCAAGATTAGAAAGCTTGAACATATCCAACACTTCTGTTACAAACATATCTGCACTCCTCGCCTGCAGAAATCGTCTGAGATCTCTAACTATGTACAGTCTGAAATGTTTGAAAATGCCTACTGCAAAATTCTTAGATGTCATAGGAAGACTAAAGTATCTGGTTCATCTTGACATCTCAGACGATCAGCATTCTGGATCCGAGATTGCCTTTTGTTTGCTAAGGCAAAAAGACATTCTGCCTAATCTTGTATCATTGGACATTTCAGGGAACAAATCTATTACTGATGAAGCCGTAGAAGCCTTTGTCAGACAGCGGCCGCGAATGCACTTTATAGGTTTGTTAGGTACAGCAGCTGGATTCACAGAGTTCGTTTCAGGACAGGGAAGCTTGAAGGTTGGGACCACTGAAATGCACTGCAGCTAGAGTGATAATTGATAAACCAGAAGATTGCATGATCTGAAAATCTAACTAGCTCGAGTTAATTTATTTGCAGCATAGAACTAATAATGTTGATACTACCAAGGGTTTCTTTCTTTACAATGGTTATATTATTCAAAAAGAAGTTTAAAGGAAATAACTAAATAACTAACAGCCTTCTTGTACTAACACAAAAGATTTATGATTTTGCCTTTTGCTAGCTGAAAACTTATTTTCCTCCCTTCAACTGAAAAAAGATCTGATTTAATATTAACAAAAGCCGAAGTTTGATTTATCCCTGAAGTTTCTCCAAAATGTAATAGGCTGACCCAGATTCCAGGGTGGAGTTGATTTAAATTACGATTTAAATCATGATTTAAATCACTAGTAAAAAGACTTAGTTTAAGCAACTCGATTTAAATCATAATTTTTAAAGTGCAGCTGTCAACTCTGTCCCACAGCAGCTGCTCTTCTGATCTGCTATTGACTCGACAGTCCCAATATTGCAGAATATACAACCTCATGCTACAGAATTAAGCTCAATTTCATGCTGAATTAATGTATCTTAAATAGAAAACTATCTCTGGATAGATTTTTACTCCAAAAGCATTTTATTAAAATAAATTTGATAAAAATAAAAAAAATGATTTAAATAAATAATAATAATTTTTATCTTTTGTTTTTAAAAAAATCATTGATTTTCATCCACCCTGCCATGGTCACTTTTAATAAAAGCAATAGCTAAGTAAGCCATCAATTTGGTGGGAAAGTAATACTGTGTATCGCAGAACCTTTAGATTATTTTTGTCTAAAGATGGTTCCTTGATAAGCTTTGCTGATTAACTCGTAATTCAGTATGGCTTCACTATTTTAGCCTAGCAGAATGGAGAAGTATGACAAAAGTGTTTTTGTGCTTTAAAGCCGGGGTCCCCAACCCCTGGTTCATGGATTGGTACTAGGCTACGGCATGCCAGAAACGGGGCCGTGCAAGCAAGCAAAGCCCCATCTGTGGGATGTAGGCAGCATGTGAAACCACGCCCCCGCCATTCTGCAGATAAACCTCTCTATGGAACAGGTCCCTGGTGCCCAAAAGGTTTTGGGATCGCTGGCTTAAAAGTGTTACTTAGGATAGGGTGCTTGCCTTCCAATGTAATTGTTGCAAGACTCATGCTACTAAATTTATTCTGATCAGAGTTACACTAAAGGAATGATATCTTCATATGTTGAAAGGTCTCGGGAGGAGAAAATGAAATGCAGATTTTAGAAGCTCTGAAACGCTACAACGAAAGGCCAGTATTTGTGAAGGAGGCCTTCTTTCATCTTTTTCTGCAAACCTGTTTTATGAAAATTACAAAGCCTGAAATTTTAAAGGTGAGGGAGTTTAATTTGAAAGAAATAATTGCTTGCCAATTGTTGACGTTTGACCATATTCAATAAATATCATTATTTAAAATTTTAAAGATACAAATAGGTTTGTGTCCTTTGATTTTTTTTCTTATTAAACTATATAATGTGTCCTCATCACTGTCTCTTCATCTTATAGCTTGTGATTATTGGAATGAAGAATCACCCTTTGGATTTGGCAGTACAGTTGACTGCTAGCGCCTGTGTCCTTAATTTAACTAGGCAAGGCCTAGCAGCAGGTATGCCTGTTCGGCTGCTCTCCAGTGTAATTCAGCTGCTCCTTAAAGCCATGGAAACATTTCCTGAACAACGACAGGTAAGGATATAGAATAGGATGTCCCATACGAACACACACACACATACACACACATTTGCACAAATCACTTCTACTGTGTACTTGGTGCAGCTGATTTTGAATTCCTTTGCTGAGAGGAAAAACAGACCCTATAGAAGTCCTATTTCATTGCCAGAGGCAACAGACATACATTGGATTTTTTTCACTTACATTAATCTTTTCTGTTTTGCTTCTGCTTTTCATGCATCAATATGCCACATAGGATTCTGTGGCCTACCCATTGCTTCTGCCTAGCTGGATTTACACACTCCCATTTGTAAAAGTTGTTTGATATGCCATTCAAAAACATTATTTTATTTAGTAATAATTCCCTTTCCTTAAGATTCAAAGCACTGAAAGCATACCCTTCTTAGTTGACCATTTCATGAACAACTAAAAATTCATGTTCTGAATATCACATTTTTATAACATTCTCTTTTTTTCCTTCTTTCCACACAGCTCCAGAAGAATTGTCTTCTTTCATTATCTAGTGTCAGGATCCTCCAAGATGTTCCATTTAACAGGTGAGTGATATTCTGTTTGCATGTTTCACAGTGCAAATGGTCAATTGAAAGTGAAGCCTTAATCTGGGTGAAAAAGACTTTCCTTTTTATGCAATAACATTAAGCTATCTTCTTACATACTGTATATCCCATCACCAAATTAAAATTCAGAGCTGTTTTTTTCAAGCATGAATATTCATTATTTACTAATCTCTCTTCCTAATGAAAAGACTGACAATGTTGAGTAGATTTCTGTTCTAAGGCTCATTCCATTTCAATTTAAATTCATTTTAGATGTGACGCCAATGAACTAAAACACTGTTTTGTGGAATTTTGTGTGGCTTCTCACCAAAATTTGGCTCTCTGAATATGTATCATTGGAATACTAATAATCTAGACTAAGTGGTTGGCATATTTACGAGGCCTAATTTCCACACATGTGGAGTGCCACATAGAAAAGCTATTTATACTTGACTAGCGTTGCATTTATAATCAGATCTCCCATATTAATCTATAGATGGCAGATTGAAACAAATATTGTACCAATAATGCATTATTGATGTATCTTTTCTATAATTATTCATTCTGGACAAAATTTTAAAAATCCAAATCTAGCATAGATTTGATAGAGGAACTGTTGTTAAATTTTATATGCATACATTGTAATTATTGGCATTTATAAATAGTAAAACATGCATGCACCGGATCATTAATTCAGTTTGTTCTGGGGGGGGGGGGAATTGTAAAAGGCTATGGAATTGTTAGATTGATTTACAAGTGCTCAATTTTCTGATTCAATCCAAATCAACTATCTGATTCAGGAATTACATAGTTGCTTTGAACTGAACTTCTAAATTTAATTCTTAGCAGAGCATATTAGACATATTTAGCAATGTCTTCATAAGAGAAAAAAAAATTGAAGCCTATTTTGAACCTAATTCAGCTCAGTTTAAAATACAATACCTACCAAAACTAAGTGTTATGCATATCACATTCCTGAGTTATACATAATTCTTAGAAAATGTAGTTTTTGAGTTTTTATTTATTTATTTAGTATTTTATTAACTAGATTTGTAAGACACCCCACCTCAAACAACCACAAAAAAATTTTGTACTTCTAAATATAATATAAAATAGAATTTTGTTTGTACATAAATAGTTGTTTAAAAACTGTTGGAAGTGATAAAAAAAATAAAATGCTTTTAAATCGTAGATTTGTGGCTGCCAAATTTGTTGTTCAATGGCTTTGTAATCAGGAGAATCAACATATACAAAGAATTGCAGTTAATGTAATCTCTATCCTGGGACTTAAGGTATGTGGCTTTACTTTTAATCCAGTATTTTCATGAGCTCTCCAAGGTATTACTTTAAAAGTCTGCTTTGTTTTTAGCTTTCAGATGAACAAGCAGCACAACTTTCTGCCGAATTCTACATTGTTGTTGGGGTGAGTCCCCTCTGTCTCCCCTGTTGAGTTAAGAGGACAGGGGATTTTCCATGTTTTTATATTGTACTATTTGTAGTGCTCTCCTTTTTATAGAAACTGCTTGAAATAATTGAACAAAAAACAAATCAGAGTGAATTAGATGCGACTTTTCATTTTACACTTCGTGCACTTTGGAATCTCACAGATGAAGCTCCAACTATTTGTACACACTTTATGGACCACAAAGGACTGGATCTTTTCTTGGAAGTTTTAGAGGTAAACAAGGCAGCTCTGTTGGTACACTACATAAGATGATAGATAGAACACAACATACATTTAGTTATTTTTTCTTTACAGATTTTTTCTTCTGATTCATCTATACAACACAAAGTTCTTGGCCTCTTGGTAAGATCAAAATCAGGTGCGGCATACAAAAATAATTTCATAAAATTAGCATGACTTTTTATTTTTTTAAGATGAAAATAGATCTTTTTATGAGTATTCCTCCTTGCCTTCACTGCTCCAGCCATGCCAAAAAATTAGGAATACTAATTGAAATAAACAATCCCCCCAAAAGAGTTTCTGTAAGGTTTCCTTCATTTGCTCTCCCCAAAGTTCATAAAGCTTTACTTTAATTCGGTAAAGGTAAAGGTTCCCCTCGCACATATTTGCCAGTCATTCCCGACTCTAGGGGATGGTGCTCATCTCCATTTCAAAGCCAAAGAGCCAGTGCTGTCCGAAGACGTCTCTGTGGTCATGTGGCCGGCATGACTAAACGTTGAAGGTGCATGGAACACTATTACCTTCCCACCAAATGTGGTCCCTATTTTTTCTACTTGCATTTTTACATGCTTTCAAACTGCTAGGTTAGCAGAAGCTGGGACAAGTAACAGTGCTCACTCTGTTAAGCAGTGCTAGGGATTCGAACTGCCAAATTGCTGACCTTTCTGATCAACAAGCTCAGCATGTTAGCTACTGAGCCACCACCTCCCTTTAATTCACTACAGCAACCCATATAACTGGCAGTTCTCAAACCTTCCTGAAATGAGGTAGCCAAAAACATGGCAGTTTTGAGTAATATAAGTTTTAGGAGCAAAATATGCTAAAATAAGTGTAGAATGGATGTATTAATCTATTTCATCTTTAACCCACCACCACCGAGGTAAAATGCAGGTAGTCTTGTATAGCGACTGCCTCATATAGCAACCAGTTGTGGCAGTGATGAAAAAGTGACTTTGCCACCAATCCTCACATTTATGACCTTTGCAGTTCTGTAAAATAAATGAAAGCCGAAGTAAAATAATAAGCACAGTCAAGATTTTGCTTAGTGACCACTTCGCTTAATGACTGATTTGGGGATCCCTAAACAAGGACTAACTATATAGGTAAATTATCAGATGCTTGCCTTTGATTTCAAAGTCTTGTTTTCAGAGTTGTGTTTTTTCCCTATCCTAATAAGAACAACGTGGCGGAGGTGAGAGAGCTGCACCCCAGGCTAATGCAGAAGGACTTCATGGATAATGTCAGTGAACTTCTGAACAGTTCTGAGATAGAAGTCAGCTATTTTGCTGCTGGGATTACGGCCAATTTGATATCTAGAGGTGAAGAAGCCTGGACATTGAATCAAAAACTGAGAAGATCTCTTATTGAAAAGCTGGTATAGTGAATTCAATACTGTAATTCTTGAAAAGCATTTTCAAGGTTGCCTGAAGTATTTAAACTTGTATTCTCTGTCACAGCATTCAACCCTTTTGAAGTGGCCAACACCAGAATGCAAGATGGTAGCACTGCCAGCTTATAGGTATAATGTTAAAATAAATCTTGAACAACAATTCTGTATTTACTGCTTACATCCCTGCATGCTGTCTGCTCATGTGCCAGTGGATTCTTTTCCTGGCATATGCAAGCTTCCCGCCCCCCAGAATATAAAAATATTCTGTTAATTAAATACAATGAAAACAATGAAAATCAAATATATTGAGAACAAGATGTAAAATCGAAAGCTTTAATTCACAAGTGTACTTAATAGATCTGAAGCTTATGAACATTATAGATTCTAGAACTTTACTAGAATAAATTAAAGGTCACATTCGTGTACATCTATAAAGGCAAGTGCAGTTAAAAGTGCTGGAGATTATTGCTCCTGTTATTCATTTATAACAGGAGCAATAAATTAGAAATAATCCTGCAAATTTGAGTGCCCTTAACACCTTAGTATAAATGCGTCCTCTTCTTCTGCTTAAAGTGACAACTTTAGTACTAACCATGATATTTTAGAAATGCAAAAGGTTGTTGTATTGTGGCTTCATTGACTTGACACAATTTAAGAACTTACCAGGATACAAGTACCTGATAGCACAAAATCAATAACATGCTTATGTTTATTTTTTATGACTGATAAATTTACAAAATATTCTTTAATTCTCAGGTCTCTCAAGCCATTTTACCCACTGCTTGACTGCTTTACATTACCTGGAGTACAGATCTGGGCTGCGTGGGCTATTCTGCATGTCTGCTGCAAAACCTGTAGGTATCCTTCAATAAGCCTTAAAACTTCTTTTTTCTAAAAGCTTGATGTTTATTTAACTTTTTAAACTGAAGGTGGAACTATTGCATCAATTCGTAATTACAATAATGCCAAATTTAACAATCCTGCTGAGTTGTACTAGTTGCTAGTCAGCTTCTGGTTGTAATTCAATGTGTTGATTGTCACCTGTAAACCTACATGGTTTAGGGATGGTTATTTGTGGAATTGCCTCTCCCATAGTCTTCCGTCATCCTCTGCACTCCAACAGTCTCAGCTTGTTTAAAATCCTATCAATTAAGTGGTGTCACCTAGGAAGTGAATCTCCTCTGTCACTGCATTTACTTTTTGGAATGGCATTATCTGGAGATCTAAACTTTGGATCAGGAAGTTTTTGGAGGGTTGCTTTTAACTGAGGAGTTGATATAGAAATATAACATGCCCACCACCCCGGAGATGGAAGAGGAGTTTTTTTTAAAAAAAATAGAATGTTCTTTCTTTAACTTTGTGAAGCTGCCCAGAATGGTTTTGAAGTTGGGAAGCCTATATACAAACGAAAAATTAAGAGTTCTTACGAGCAATAAGGGACAGATGTATGTGAATTTGAACGATATTTCCAAATCACTGAAGTATATTTTCCTTATATATCTTGACTGGAATTGTAAATCAACATGATTTGCAGTTTTAGCGATATTGTAAACAAAGTTGATTATGTTGCAGCATGCAATGTTTTCAACATAACCTCACATATTTTAACACTGTCATGTTTATGTTGAAGATGTTGATTAACAATCTTATTTCTCTTTAGCTGCCAAATACTGTGCAATATTAATAGAAGAGAATGGACTACAGCACTTATATAACATCAAAGAAAATGACCAGAGTGATCCTGATGTCCGGTATTTAGTAAACAAGATATTAAGTTATGTGGAAACTCATGTGAAGTATTATGGGATGCCTAAACATCTAATAGAGCTACAAGGCCATTCAGATTGATAACTGAGGTCATATCTCTTCTACTGCCATATAGTATTGACATCCTTTTCACCATCCACTTTAAAAAAAGAATCAAGATGGTCCTTGTATCTTTTTCAAATCTTCTGTAATTAGCTTTAACTTATGGCTCTTGTATAATGACAGATGGAAAGAAATTTAGGCTTGTTTCTGCTAAAACAATGAGTTTGAGGCAAACAATTGGGTCAGTCACAAACCACTGTTATGAACTTGTGCACGTCCAAAGAAGAGATCCGGAGTTTAGTTTATTGTACATAAATATTTGTCATGATGTAAGCATAAATCACTTTGTTACTGTATTTTTTTTCTGGGTATACAAAGTATTTTTCTATGAGTGGGGAAAATATTTCAAGAGACTTTTTAGGCTTTATCTAAAAAAGATACGTTCAGTGATGGTATTACAAAATGATTGCATGTTTCTATCTTCAAGAAAATTGGTCATAATGCAAAATAAAGCTTTTATAAGGTCAAATTCACTATATGGTAGCCAGCCATGTGGTAGAGTGTTTTATTTTTTGCTATTCTTATTGGTATCATTAGGTGTAATATTTACATTCTCCCAAAGTGGGGGGGTTGGAATAATTTATGTGAGAAGAAAAATATAGTTGGTGATGAATTTAACTTATGGGAAGTTGCTACAGTAGTACAGTTGAAGCAATATATCTGAGGGGAAATGGGAGAGGGGAAAACTTATGAGGAAAAATCGTAAATTAAGCTATCTCATGCATTCTAGAGTGGTGTGTGCTAAAATAGAGTGTATTTTCTGTATAGTCAAGTTGACTATAATTCATTAATGGAAAGGAAAAAGTCAGTGTAGTTGAATATTTGGATTTTTTTTATACTGCTAATTATTAGTCAATCACAGCTTATTTCAATTAAAGACCAGCATAGAACAAACAATTATTGCAGAATGGGGCCTATTTGCAAATTTAAGCACTAAAGAACCTATTGATGCGGATGAAGGAGAGTGCAAAAGTTGGCTTGAAACTCAACATTAAGAAAACTAAGATCATGGCATCCAGCCCTCTCGATTCCTGGCAAATAAATAGGGAAGAAATGGAGGTAGTGACAGATTTTACTTTCCTGGGCCCCATGATCACCACAGATGGGGACTGCAGCCAAGAAATTAAAAGACGCTTGCTCCTGGGGAAGAAAGCTATGACAAATCTAGACAGCATACTAAAAAGCAAAGACATCATCCTGGCAACAAAAGTGGGCATAGTCAAGGCTATGGTTTTCCCAGTTGCAATATATGGCTGTGAAAGAAAGGCTGAGCACCAAAGAATTGAGGCCTTTGAACTACGAGTCTCTTGGACTGCAAGGCAATCAAACCAGTCCGTCCTAGAAGACATCAACCCTGACTACTCTTTAGAAGGCCAGATCTGTACTCCAGGTAATGTAAAG